GGAGAAAGTCTGCAGGCTGAACCAGGAGGTGGGTGGGGCAGGCACCCCTCCTGTCCTGCGGGACGGGGTCTGTGGCTCTGGAGCCAGGTCCTGGGTTCCAGTCCTTACACCAGCTGGATGGCCTTGGGCGAGGCCCTCAAGCTCTCTGGACTTGGTTTCCTCACCTCGAAAGGGAAGAAATGATAATACACGCTTCCCGGAGGTGCGAGACGCACAAGCTTTGCGGTACTTAGTAGACCCCCCTGCAGCCAGCCTCGGTTTGCAGCCTGCAGTGAGGACTTCCTGTCCGACCTGACCCCCACTGCGAGGCCAGGACTGTCTCCTGCTCTGGCTGAACCACCCTCACCCAGCCCCAGGAAATGAGAGCTCACGGAGGTGTGTGGGGGCCAGAGACCGCGGAGGCGTTCGCGCCTGGGGGACCCGGCTGGAAGAGCTGAACCCAGCCAGGACGAGCCCAGATGCAGCCGGCCAAGTGCTGCCTCGGCCTCCTCCCCAAGGGACCGCGGGATCCCTGTTGTCTGTCGCCATAGTGCGGCCAGGCCCACCCCGGGGAGTCGCCTTCCCTGGGCTCTGATAAACAGCTGGCACCCCCAGAGGGGCGGAGCCCAGGGCCAGACCAGCCCTGCTCGAAAGACAAAGGGCAAGTGCTGCTCTGCTCACTGCCAGAAGTGCCCCCCACTTTTAGGCCAGCGGTCCCCAAACCCAAGCCAGAGACCCTATTAAAGTGCAGACTCCTGGTGGGTGCAGTGGCACCTGCCTGTAGTCCCAGCACTCTGGGAGGCTGAGGCAGGAGGATTAAAACTGAAGCCCAGTTTGGACAATTTAGTAATTTACTGAGGCTGTCTCAAAATAAAAAAGTCAGAAAGTGCTGGGGATGTAGCTCAGGGCAAAGGCCCTGGGTTCAACCCCAAGTACTAAAAATAACGCAGATTCCTGGGTCTTGGTCAGTTTGGAATGTAGCCGACCCATTCCTCAGTGAGCTCTGCCCTCATGGCAGTGGGAGTCTGAACACCGCAGCGTAGATGCTTGAGTTCATCCCCTCCACGAGCACAGGGCTACGTTCTGTCCGAGGGAGGGAAGGCAGGGGCACTGCCCACGGCCCAGACCCTTTCTGGAGGACCGCAGTGTCCACCCTGGGCCTCCCTCCCCGGGTGAGGCTGAGGAGCTCTGGAACCGCAGAGGGGCGCGCCCAGGACTGAGGCACTGTGGGGCACCTTGTCTTTTCAACAGATTTCCCGCCTCAACCAGGAAGTGTGTCAGCTGAGCCAGGAGCTCCGGCACGTGATGGGGCTGCTGCAGGTCCACCTGGGTCCCCCAGGCCACCTGGCACCTGCAGCCTGGCCCCCGGGCCTTCCCCGTCACCGGCGGAGGCCACCGTGCAGCTCTCCATGTGCATCTGGACCTCCCCGGAGCCTCCAGGACACAACGCTTGCTGAGGTCCACTGCCCGGCCAGTGCAGGGAGAGCGGAGATGAGGGCCACACCATGTGCACTGGCCCCCTGTACCTCAGAGCCGGACTCGCTGAGACCCTCCCCGGGGCTGGAGCCTTCCCCTCCGACCCCAAGCCTTGCCGGGCCTAGCTTCCCGTCCAGGTGGGACACGCGGCACTGACCCCGGCCTGGGCCCGGGCCTGTCTGGGGCGGGCACTGCTGCCTGCCGTCGGGGAGGAACTGGGCCCTTGGCCTCCTGCTTCGGGGTCAGCAGCCACCAGCTGGTCTGGCTGGCTCTGGATTCTCTGGACTCCCGACCCTGGTCCATTTTGCGAACCTTCTTCCCCCATCCTCCTCTGTGAGGGGCCGTCCAGGGCATGGTGTCCAGCGGCAGAGATTGACGCAGAGACGCCGGGCTGGGCGGATGCCATGCGCGCCTTCCTCCAGGGGCCTGCAAGCAGGTAGAGACTGGGCCAGGGGCGGGCGGGACCCTGGGTCAGCTGGAATGAAAGCCGAGGCAGGAGCAGGCAGGACCCTGTGTCCGAGGGAAGGAAGTGCACTCTGGATGTAGCTCAGTGACATCCTGGGCCCACCTGTCCCAGTTCCTGGGTCCTCCACTGGATACCCTGAAGGCAGTGCCACCTTTGGAGGGGCACCTGTGCCATTCTGGTTGGCATCTGACCCACCAGGATGTCTCAGCTCCCAGCCATCCGCCCAGTCTGGTGGGACTCCTTGCATACACAGGGAGCAAACTGACCACCTTGACATGTAGTCTTTGGTCCTAGACATTTTTCCAAAATGTGAATTAGGTGCCAGCATTTAAAAAAAAAAGATGGGTCACGTACAGTATTCTGGCTGGGCGTGATGGCACACACCTGTAGTCCCAGCACTGGGGAGGCTGAGGCAGGAGGATGGTTGTGAGTTCGAGACCAGACTGGGCTACAAAGTGAGGTCAAGGCCAGCCTGAACCACATAGCGAGACCCTGTCTCAAAAAGACCAAAAAAAAAAAAAAAATTCAGTATTCCACCCGGACGTGGTTGTGCACACCTGTAATCTCTGCACTCTGGGAGGCTGAGGCAGGATTTCAAGCCCAGCCTTCGAATATAGCAAGACCTTGCCTCAGAATTTAAAACAGTGTAGGGCATCTCCCACCCTGAGCCAACAGTTATTTGGCAATTATCAGTGATCACTTGATATTGATGGCCACTGGCCTTTTTTTGTTTTTTGTTTTAGGGACCACTGGGGCCTAAACCCTTGGGCTTTGCACTTACTTTTGCTACATCCCCACTCTGTTTTTGCAACTGGGTCTCACTAAGTCGCTAAACTGCCCAGGTTGGGCTTGAACTTTGTGATCTCTTGACTCAGCCTCCCAGAGTGTGGGGTCACAGGGGTGTGTCCCCACACCTAGCTGCCCACTGTCTTTTTTTTGTCTTTTTTGAGACAGGGTCTCACTATGTAGTTCAGGCTGCCCTTGAACACACTTTGTAGCCCGGGCTGGTCTTGAACTTGCTGCAATCCCCCTGCCTCAGCCTTCTCAGTGCTGGAATTACAGGCATGCGCCACCACTCCCGGCTACTAGTCTCCCTTAGACGGGACCTGCAGTCCTCAGGCCTTGGCAGCCCCAGCTCGTGGGTCATTTCCTGACACTTACCAGGCTTCTGCGGGTTGAAATCTTTGGTCTTTGAGGGCAGGGTCTGCATCCGGGACCGAGAGTGGGGTCCCAGACCCGTGCCGGGCGTCTCTGGGGCCTGGAATGTCCGTTTCTTCCCCCAGCTCTCTCGGCTGCATCTCTGTGTCCGTGTCTCCACAGGCTGTCACTCAGGCTGGTCTCTCCTGCTGCCGGCCAGCAACTCCAATGGCTCCAGCCTCACTCCACACCTGCCCACCCTGGCCGGAGCCGGGCTCTTCCTCCTGCTAGGGGCCTGGACTCCTCCAAACCCCGCCCAGCCCTCCTTCCGCCCAGAGCCCCAGCCTCACTTTTTATCTTTTTTTTTTTGCGGGGGGTGGGGGTTTCCGGTACCGGGAATCAAACTCATGACCTTGTGCTTGCCTGGCAGGCGCTGTGTTGCTGAGCTAAACCCCCAGCCCCTAGCCTCACTTTTGGATAGGAAATAAACTCATCTATTTTTGTAGCCTTTCGCAGTGCCTGTTTCTGGGGTTTGGGCTGAGCGCCCCAGGGCTTTGGAGGAGCCCACACTATAGTCACCCCAGCAGCCCCAGGGCCTTGCTGCTGTCTCTAGAAAGGGTAGCGACGCCAGCCAATCCACTGGGCATCCCTCACCACCAGGGGCCCTGGGGCTGAGGGAGAAACCTTAATGAGTCCCTAAGGGCCTGTTCCAGTCCCTCTGCCCTGTCCTGGGGCAGGCCCACGTCCAGCCCTGGGAAGATGGGCCCAGGGGACCCCTGCTTTCCATATATGGAGCTGCTGCAGGCTAAGGATGAGGGCAGCTTGTCACCAGCTGAGAGCCGGCTAGGAGTCCTTCCTGGCCTCAGGAGACCTGGCTTCTCTCTCAAGGTTCGCCACTCCACTCTGATGATCACAGCAGGGAGTGGGGGGGAGCTGTCCTGAGGGTGTCATAAGAAACAGTCACCCTGAGCCAGGTGTGGTGGCACAAGCCTGGAATCCCAGAACCTAGGAGGCTGAGGCAGGAGGATCGCCGGGGGACCAACAGTGAGTTCAACTCCAGCTCAGATTACTTGGAGAGACGCTGTCTCAAGAAAGGAAGAAAGGAAGTAAAAGACAAGAAACAAGCACCCTGTCGACCAGGGTGAAACTAGGTGTGGGCATAGCTTGCTATCAGACTGCCCCAGACAGGTCGATGCTCCGGGTCTGGCTCCACAGGGTACAGCTGCTGTTGGCCTGTGTCTGACGGGGTGAAGGCCACAGCTGTCTCAAGTGGGTTTGGGTTTCATACAGCTGTTTGTTGTTTGAGACAGGATCTCACTATGCAGTTTAGGCTGGCCTTGAACTGACTTTGTAGCCCTGGCTGGCCTCAAACTCACAGGTGATCCTCCTGCCTCAGCCTTTCCAGGGCTGGGCTGACAGGCGTGCGCAATCATGCCAGGCTCTACATGCAGGTTTTGCGTCGTGTCCCCGTGGAAGACGCAGGAAAGAGCAGGTACAGGCGTGTGTTGGAGGCGTGGTTCTGGTCTCCACGACGGGTGGAGGGCGCCAGGCGGAGTCACCAGCATCGGAGAACAAGGTGGCTCTGCATGGGGTGGAGTGGGACGGATCCCAAGGATCCAAGAAGGGCTCACCGGTGTTCTGGACACCTGTCACCGCGCGACCGGCGCCCTCCGTGCCTGCCTTCCGCGCAGACTCAGCCGGAGAGCACCGAGCGCCCGCCGGGCGCTGCCGACTCCCCCACCCGGCGGCTCCGCCCTACACCCGAGTCCCGGCCGCCGGGGACCGCCCCGCGGACTACAACTCCCGCTTTGCGCCGCGCACTCGGTCCCGCCTCTCGCATGCCCCCGCCGGCGTCGCTCGCGGGTGGGCCGAGGGAACCTCCTATTGGTCCCCGTGCCCTGTCAGTCACCTAGGGGCATGGAGGGGCGGGGCGAAGGTGGAGATCCGGATCCGGAGCGGCTGAAAGGCGGAAGTGGAGGCCGGAGCCTGGGACACCGCCGGGGGGGAGAGGAGCGGAATCGGCCCGAGCCCCCGCCCCACAGAACGCCGCCGCCCCGGAGCCACGGTGAGTGTGCCCGTCCTGGGGTCTGGGTCTCACTTGCCCTGAAGCGTCTTCGGAGCCGCTCCTTCCTCCCGCCCAGTCCCGGCTTAGGGGGGTACTGACCCCTCCCCCGACCCGTAGCCCCCTCTTCGGGAGCTCCCCGGGCGTCGGGCCGAGGGGGGAGCCCCTCTTTACTTCGCCGGGCTGTCATGCGTGCCCCTGGGGAGCCTGCGCCGCTCTCCTCGGCCTCTCCAGCCCGGTGGTGGAGAAAGGGACTCCGAGTTCCTCTTCTGCTCCCGGAATGTGCGGGGCTCCGCCAGGTGCGACGGGGCTTGTCTGCCTTGTAGTTCAGAGGCGGCGGGAGGCGCTGTCTGTCCCGCTCTTCTCCTCCGCGTCCCGTCAGGAACAGTTGTCCCCTGCAGCCCTGGAGGGTTTTTTATCGCTTTCCTGCGGGCGGCGGGCGGGGGAGGGGTCCGCGCGCTCGGACCCGCGGCCCGCAGTAAGTTTGCTGCCCCACTTCTCACTTCCTCTCCTTCCCGAGCCAGAGCTTGGAATCGGGATCGCTGAGCAGGGACAAGCCGTCTTCTTGTTTTGCCCCATTCCCAGCCCTGTCCTCTAGTTCTGGCGTTTTCTCCATATCTCTCTTCCTGCCTCTGAAGAATTTAGCTGAGGCTTGCTCAATCTTAGCTCCCGATCGCAGATCCGGGCAGATCTGCCCGTTCATTATCTTCTCTCCTCCTCCTCCTCTTGCGCCTCCTCCTCCCCCCGGCTCAGGCGCAGTCCTGCCCTCCCAGAGCATGTGAGTGGTTTCCGAGCGGGCTCTAAGGACTGCTGACCTGCAGGGATGAGAGTAAGACCGAGCACGAGGACCCTGGGACTGGGGCACCTCTTCGCCACCCCCAAACGTGTATGCCACCCTGAACAGCAGTTCCTGCCACGCCAAGGTCTCCGGTCGTGCTGGCCTGGATTTATTGCGGAGGAGTAAGTTGAGATCACAGTGGCCACCCTGCACTGCTAATGTGCTAATGTTCTAGTCAAAAAAATTCTGACAGTCAGAAAGTGCTGGTTTCCCAGCCCCTGGACACATAGTCCTCGTGGTGGCTTGGGATGTAAGTGTGTGAAATGGCTGCTGTCGCAGACCGAGTTGGAAGGTTTTTTTCATTTTGTGGCCAAAGTACAGGCTGGAGACTGTTCCTTAGTGAGGAGCAGCTTGGCTCAGACCAGGACCGGCTCTTGCTATCTACGGTGGAGGAAAGGAAGGAAAACAGCACAACCCTTGAGAGTTTCTGTAGCTCTTCAGCTTTCTGGGCCACTTTAACTGCTCTTGGGCACTGTTGACAAAAGCTACAGTTTGGCTTTGTGATCTTTTTGACTACTTCTGGACAGCTGCTAGCGTCTGATTCCTACAATTTGCTGTTGTTTTTGAGACAAGGTTTGGCTGTACAGTTCAGGCTGGCCTTGAACTCCTAGCAGTCTTCCTGCCTCAGCCTCCTGGGTTCTGGGAACACATGTGAGCCACCATGCCTTGCTGTGATTCTCTTTTTTTTTTTTCTTCTGGGAATCAAACTCATGACCTTGCACTTGCCAGGCAGGCACTGTGTTACTGAGCAGCATCCCCAGCCCTACCATAATATTTTGAGGTAGACCTGTGGTACACTTATTTCCCTTTTTTCTGGACAACAGCCACAAAAAGAAAGCCCTGCTTAGGGTCACCAGCTGAATCGCAAGCTCTCTATCTGTGTGGGCTGGTCAGAGGCTCTGGTCAGCCTGGCTCTCAGATCTGAGCAGCATCTGCCTGAGGGGTGTGGCCACCGCTCTGTGCTAGGCTTAGCTCTTCAGGAGTGGACTTTGATTTGGAGCGCTCCTCAGGAGTCCTGGGATGGGGCAGGCCAGCCTCGGAAGGGCTCTTCCTCCTTTTGTGTGAATGAACCCTTCCAGCTCTGGATCCAAAACAGGCTTTAGAAGGAGAAGTGAGGGAACCAAGGCTTAGATGGTTATACAGAATTTCTCTGAATTTCTCTGGCTTTCAGAAATTATAGGGTCCCAGCAGGCAGAGGTTTGACCCTCTTCGGGGCAGAGTGGGGCTCTGATGGTCTGGCAGCTTCTCCTCTCTGCCTCTTGGAACCAGTTGGCCTTTTCTGGCTTTCTGCTGCAAGAGGACTGGAGCAACTTATGTTTATAAATTGTAAAGTCACAGAATGCTCTTTGCTCACCTACCCCCTAAGGGTTCTGAGGGCAGTGGTAGAGTTTGTGTCTGCACCTTAGAGACGATCCCGGGTCTTGGGCACCGTGCCCCAGACCGTTGCAGTTAGAGTGGGTCAGGCCTGGCCTGGGACTTGGGGCCGCTCCAATCTAGCCTCCTGCTAAATGAGTGGGGGTGCAGCCCAGCCCCTCACCCTTCAGCTTCCTGGTCACTGGATTCCTCATTGGCTTTGCTTCTTCCTGCCTCCACTCCAAACTCTGATCCGTCTTCACCCACTCTCTTCTGTCTCTGCCTCTGGGGGCTGTGAAGGAGCCCGGGGCCTGTCCTCTCTGAGGCCCAAGAGTCTGCTGTTGATCTCTGTGCATTTAATCTCCTGGAAACCTTGAAGTCAGGATTGCAGGAAAATGAAAGTAAAAGCGAGAGGGCTCAGGGTCCCCCTGCTAAGTCAGGGCTGGGAACCTGTGGAGCTAGCCTGGGATCTGCGCGTGCACACACCTGCTTGCCCTGGCTCTCCCCAGAGCCTGCTGCTGAGAGTGGGAAGAATTCTGCCCTTCACTCTTCCCATCAGAATTTACCTGGAAACAGAGCAAGGTCAGAAGTGGGAACTCAGCCCCACCGAGCAGGAACCTACTAGGAAACCTCCTTGTAAGCCTTCTTGGGACACTGAGGCAGTGTGGTGCGGCGGAGGCACAGGGTCGAGCTCTAGAGTCAGCCAGAGCTGCTGAGCTGCACGCCCAGCCCTACCGTAATACTCTGAGGTAGACCTGTGGTACACTTACCCCCCTTTTTTCTGGACAACAGCCAGGAAAGCAACAGTTCCTACCGGTTCCGCCTTCCCGGATGTGTGACCTTGGGCTTGGCACTTGACCTCCCTGCGCCTGGCCCTTCCAGGACAGTGGGAGGCTAAACAGCCTGCGGAATTAGAAACAGTGGGGTAGGGGGCTGGGGATCTAGCTCAGCGGCACAGGGCCTGCCTGGCAAGCGCAAGGTCGTGGGTTCAATTCCCGGTACCGGAAAAAAACCAAAAAAAAAAAAAAAAGAAAGAAACAGGGTGCAGGGCGGTGCAGGGGCAGGCGGGGCCTTGAGCACCGTCCCTGGGACGTGGGCACCATGGCCACTGTGGTTCTGGTCCTTGCTTGATGTCCCCACGCGTCCTCTGGTTTCTCAGCTCTTGAACAGAACTGGCATGGCTGTGTTCCCATTTCACAGAGAAGAGTGCTTGGCAGACACTTCCTGCTGGGCTCCCAGGCCCTCCGGGTCCACCCAGTGAGGCTTCCACTTTCCAGGCACCAGGCAGGTCCGTGCGGAAGCAGCCTGTGTCTGTCATGGCTTTGAGTGCAGGTTCCCGTAGTTTAAGCTAACAGAGGAAGCTTGATGACAGTATGGTGGTGGTAGTAGGCTGCTCTGGGCCCTCGCCGGGATTCCTGGGATTTGCATTTTCCCCTTTGGTACTTTTGTCAGAGCTGTTTGAGAAGCAGTGTGTCAGGTCGGGTTTAAAAACAAAAACTAGAATGTCCAAAGGTGAAAGTGGTTGTACATACCTGTAATCCCAGCTCTCAGGCTGAGGCAGGAGGGTCCCCACAACTTCAAGGCCAGCCTGAGCTATACAGTGAGACCCTGCCTCAAACCCCCCCACTAAAAAAGTAAATAAATGTTAAGATATCCAAAACCAGGCGTAGTGGTACAGGCCTGTAGTCTCAGCATGCGGGTGGCTGAGGCAGGAGGGTCATTTGGAGTTCAAGGCCAGCCTGAAGTATATAATGAAACCCTGTCTCAAAAATCTAAAATAAACAAACAAATAAGAACTATGTTGTCCAGCCAGGTGTGGTGGTGCATGCCTGTCATCCCAGCACTCAGGAGGCTGAGGCAGGAGGACCGCTGTGAGTTCAAGGCTAGTCTGGCCTACATAGCAAGACCATGTTGCAAAAACAAAACAAAACCAAAAAACTATGGTGTCCAAAAATCAGGACAGTGGTGCTTGGCAGAGGAGAACCGGCGCTGTTCTTAAGGAGTGCTCTGCAGGGCAACCTGGCGTTGTGACAGGCGCGTTTGCGGAGTGCAGGGGGCCGAGAACACCACCCAGAGCTGCGCTTGGAGCCCACTGCCCAGCGACCCGGGGGCTGCCCTGGGAGTCCCAGGCTCACCCGTTTCGTCCCCCTTGGCCAGGGAGGGGAGCGCAGCTTGAAGGGGCTTCCTCTGCCGCACCCCTTGCCCCAAGTGAAGGCTTTTCCCTCCCTGGCTGTCTGCTCTCCGCCGCCACCTTCTCTGATGTCTGAGCCATGTGGGGGGCATAGCAGAGCCCTGTGATGACTGGCCAGATTCCCGGGTAGAGCAAAGCTCTGCTAAGGGACAGAAGATGTCCAGACCCACTCACTTCTCTTTTTTTTTTACCCCTGGGTTTTTTTTTTTTTTTTTTGGTCCTGGAATCAAATTCAGGACCTTGTGCTTGGCAGGCAGGCACGTGCCACTGAGCTACATCCCCCGCCACTGCTGGCTACTCGAGCACCCCTCGCTGTGCTCCCAGGGCTGGGCTGTGGACGGGGCCCATGCTTGCAACCCTCCGATGCAGGCAGCAGCCCCCTTGTCTCGGGTGCATGGCCTACAGGTTGCTCCATCAGGGAAGGACTGCTGTGGGAAGGACATCCAGGCAGGCGTAGGCCCAGCCTGGGTTTCCAGACAGTGGACCGCTGCCGAGGGGCGTGGCTCCGTCTGTCCGCCTGGTGACACTGGCCTCCGGCCAGGACGAAACACACCGGACTTGCACAGTGTGCGTAGTCAGGCAGTGACCCCCCAGGCCAGCACCCGGCAGGGCCCAGGAGAT